GCGCTTATCTTTCTGATGCAGATCCCCTGAGCTGTGGAGCCTAATGTGTGGCCTGGAACCCTCCATCCTCAGGGAGGGCCCTTGTTGGTTTAGAAATCCCTTTTTTCTGTGGCTCAATGAGCCAGGAGTGTAGTTTTTGACTAAACAACATCTCTGCCCCTCCTACCAGCTCTTTGTGGATTTTTTTTTTTATCCTTAGTTGTGTATGATCTGTTCTGCTATTCTTCAGTTTGTTCTCAGAGATGGTTGTCTATAAGTAGTTGTAGCTTTTTGGTGTATTCATGGGAGGGGGTGAGCTCAGTATCTTCCTTTTCCAGTATCTTGATCCTCTCCTATTTTTCCTTATTTTTTTTCATGGTAAAGTGATATTACTATCAACTACAAAATCAGAAGTTTGTGAGACTTAAAATTTCTAGACTTCAGTTCCATCCTAACTATATAGATCTTGTCTACCATTTCTGTCCTATGCAGTATTTTCCTTCCAATATAAGGTAAACTGGCAGTGTATCGTACTTCTGGAGACTGCTGTAGAATGGAGTCTTTTTCTGCCATAATGGTACAATTCTCCCAAGTTTGATAATTACTGTTTGCTTTTACTTAGGGCTATAATAATGTTGCATTTTAAAATCCCTTGCACTTTTAGAGCAGTCTAAGAATGTTATCCTTTAGGCTTGGTTTTAAATGAAAATATCAGCAGATAGAGAATATGTTCTAAGAATATTTATATTCCTCTAAGCTCAAAGGCTTAAATCTTTCATTATTAATAGCTATCAACTGGTCTCATGTTTCTTATTCTACCTATAGCAGTTTGTTAGACATCATGATATAGGTAGGAGTTTAATAGATAAGAGCAATTGTAATCATCCCAAGGGGTATTTGGGGAATGAGAAAAGGTGAAAGACAATGATAGAACTAACATCTGAAGGTTTGTCTAAAGAGGAGATAACAAAGAAATGCTCAGCAAGGTAGGAGAGAAACCAGGGATGTATTTTAATAGAAGCAAAGGAAGAATTTCAAAAAGATTGTTGACTTCTTTGGGTGCCATATGAAGAGAACAGACAATAATTTATTGAATTTTTCAATTAAGAGGTCATTGATGACCTTTGCCAGAGGATTTTCAGTGAAGCATAGAAATGAATTCCAGTTTGCAATGGATTAAAAGGTAAACAGGAAATCAATATATAAAAGCAGCTAAGATGGACTTGTAACTCATCTAAAGGAAAAGAGGTGATGCCAGAGAAGAGAGCAATATTCAGAAGAAGCTATGATTTTACAAAGATAAGAGACTTGGAGTGTACTTTTAGGCTTTGGGGAAAAAGCCAGAAGATAGAGGATAATTAAAAATAGAGAAGAATGATAATAATGAAATAAGCTCCTAGGAAGGGTCGATGGAGGGTTAGCCTTGAGCAGGATTCTTCTGTTTTAGGAAGAAAGAAAACAAAGGTGGTCACCAAATATTGGTATGTAAACAGAAAGTTTTATATTTATAAGTTTGACCTTATAAAATACAAGGTCAAACTATATGTTACTAAGAAATTATTATTGGAAAATAGACCAGCTAGCATTTGAGTGGTTACTATATGCTGTGAACATTGAGTTTTAGAAACAGTACCTCATTTAATTTCATCATACAGTTCTATGAGGAAAGTATTAACACTCCTTCTCAATCTTAGAAAGTGAAGCTTAATAAGTTTAATTAACCTAAGGTCATGAAAACATTAAGTATTATATTAGAACTAGTCATTTGAACCTAGAGAGTTCTAACAGGCACCTAAACTCTTAACCACAGTTGTGCTGAGTCAGGGGGTGTTGAAAAGACTGCAGAATATTTGGCAGAATGCAACAAAGAAATCATGGATATGTGAAAGAATCGTCAGTTGGAAATGTGTACAACCATAGCTGGAGACCATAAATCAATGCTGGCACACATCTGTGCATCTGAGTTGATTATTTCTAGTAGCAGTTAGCAGCCCAAGTGAATAATCATATTAGGGTAGGAATTTTTTTCATTCCGAACTGGGCAGATGAGAATATTAAGGCATAGCCTAGAAAAAAATTCCTAAATTCTGAGAATAAAAAGAAATCTCTGTAAGACTCCTACAGAAAATACAGTAATATGGGGGGAAAAAAGAATAAGACTAGCATGAGACATTTATAAAACTGGAAGGTAGAAAGCAATAGAATAGCATCTATAGATTACTTGAGTAGAAGAGAACTGCAACCAAGAGCTCTATACCTGTCAAAGAAAATGGAAGACATTTGGAAATAAAAACTAGAGTGTATCATTCACCTTAAGAAAAAAAAAAATACTTGAAACCTTAAGATAGAAGAAAGATAGAAAGTAAGTGAGCAATTAAAAGAATAAGGAGAGACTCAGTGAACATGTAAGTGTGAAGTAAGGTTTCCTGAAACAGAAAATACATAACACAAGGTAATTTTAATAAGATTGCAGAACAAGCATAATGAAGTATTTCAGCAAAGTTTAGGAAAATGAGAAGGAAGGAGGGAAGTTAAATGATTTTAAAAATCTTATTGATGTGGACTGTTAGAGAATTAGAACATTTTTATGGGAGAAAGAGCCTTTTAAGTTTCTATGTTATGTAACTAAGCACTACTGGATAAAGAACATTTTAGAGTAATAAATAGCACATCATGTAAGAAAGGTAACGGTCATAAGCCTAAATACATCAAACAACATAGCAACTAAAATGTGGAACAAAAACTATTAGAAATGCAAGGAGAGCTTAAAATACAATGTAGTGAACGAGGTCAGTGTATTTGTCTCAAGAGGATGAACTTGTAGAAAAAATGATGTAAGGACATAGAGGGATTGAATCAATAAATATAAAAACACACATCCCTCAGAGAATAATATTTTTCTGTATTCCAGGGAACATCAGCAAAAATCAAAGGTTTGAAAACCTTAACAAATTTTGAAAAAATAACAGATTTTACAGAGTGCTATAAAATCTCTGGTCAGAAGCCAATAAAATTAGAAATATATAATGATAAATAACTAAAACCTTAGGTACCTTAAACTTAAGAAACATTCTATTTGACATGACTAAAATCAAAGAAGAGATCAAAAAATAAAACTGCAAACTATGGAACAATGAAAAATACTTTTTATTCTCAAACTATGTGCAACCTGTACTCAGAGGAAAAACTCTAGCCTTAAATTCTTTCTTAATTAAAGAGGAAATCAGAAAAGCAAAAGAACTAAGTAGTCCTCTTATTTTTTTTTAAGTAGTCCTCTTAAATTCAAACAAAAAAATTAATCAAAAGAAACTAGTGAGAAGGAATTAAGATAAAAGGCTACATCATGGACCTAGACATCAATGATACACAGAAATTTCTAAGCTGATCCCTATGCAAATTCCGATATCCAGTGTGTTAGAGATCAGTGTGTATGCAAATGGAGGTAGCATATAAATTCTCTGAAGATAATTTTGGCCCTGGTCTTTTACACCTACTCCCTGTTACTTATCTGCTTCAGATTCCTATATGGAGGTAAGTGGTTAACATGAGTGGATGTTTAGCTATATAGGGTTCTGTTGTAGCACAATCATGAGGTTGAAAGGGAGCTTTACCTCTAATTGATACTCCCTCCTCTAATGACAGTACCCCTGGGAGGAGATTTGTGAATCTTTGGAATGCTAAGTCACTAAGAAAAAAATCTCATTTAGAGAAGACAAGACCCCAAAACGTAGCTAGATTACACCTTTATGCAGTAATGGGAATTGTAGAACAGATAGGTATAAATATATTGTATTTATTTTAAGATTTCTTTTTATTTTCTTTCTTCATCATGCCACTCTGGAAAACTGTCATTGTCAACAATCTCTGAGGCTTAATAAAATAGATTTGTTGCAATTTAAAGTAGTAATTTCATCATTTAATATTATAAATTTTGGTAATCTTTATATTCCTATTGGTATTCACTGTGTATTTTAGGTTTTCCTTACCTTTGTCTCTCAGAACTGTCACTGACCGATCATTATAGGATCAACGTTTGTTTCTGTTGATTTCTCACTCCATTTGAATTAATAGCAATAGTATGTTGAATTGCTTGATTTGTGGAGGTGTTGGGAGAAGGAAGTAGGAGGTATGACAAAGTGTCATTGTTTTTTTGGAAATTTATAAAACCAGACTGTGATAAGAGAATAGATAATGTCTTCCTTTTAGGATTTTTTTTTAACTAATTAGAAGGTAAGAAGAGGAGTGTGTGCTTATGTATGTTTTCTTCACAGAAATGCAGGTTTATTTAGCATCATGTCTGACAGATTACAGGAAGGGGAAAGAAGGGACCTTACACCCTAGAAAACATCTCCTAAAACAGTTCATAATGCCTACTGTATTTAATTGCTTTCTTTGAAGTCTTTTTTTATTCTAAAGGACCTAGGGAAACTACTAAATGTAAGAGTATGATAATAATAATCAAATTTGCTTTAAATTCTCATTATTGTACTAGTTGGAATTTTTGTTGTTGTTATTTTGGAGGGAAGCCATACAGAAAACCTTTATAAATTCTGTGAATTGTGTGTAATTCATTCCTAAAGATAAAAGTGCATCTGCACAGGACACCTTCCGTTTTATGTAATTTTATCCATTTTCCCAATTTATTATATAATACAGCTAAGCTTCTCCTGAACAGTAAACTGATTTTCCTCTTCTCTTTCAAAGAACAGCTAGAGGAATCATTTTATTTTACTGTTCATTTTCCTTTGATAATATTGGACTCAAAAGAAAGTATCAAGAAAATACAGTATCTTTAGAGTAAAGAAAACAATGGCATGGTTTACACCATCAGTGTAATTCTGTTGATGGGTATCTGAAGTAGCAAAGAGTTGTTTTTATAACATGTCACTTTCTTCATGCACTTTCATGGATTTTCTAATTTTTTTTCTTTTAGCTTTAGAGGGTTTTTTTCCCTTATCATAAAAAGAGGAGGTGAAATCTGAACATGATCTTGTCTTGGTTTTCTTTGTATCCATCTATAGGATGAATATAAACCAGAAAAAGCCCTGTCTGAAGAGGATTTGAAAAACGCTGTGAGTGTGCATCACGCGCTGGCATCCAAGGCCACAGACTATGAGAAGAAGCCGAATGTGCTTAAACTTAAAACTGCTGACTGGAGGGTCTTGCTTTTTCAAGCCCAGTATGTTTCACTGGTTTGGTTTCGTTTCTTAGTTTGCATAGCATCACCTTATACCAAGGCATAGAATCAGAGTCTACAGAGGAAACTGAGTTAGATTCAAAGTCATTAATTGGTTCCCCTAGAGAGACAACTAAGAAAACTAGAATCAAAAATAGAAACCCTGGGTTCCAGTTTTTTGTTAGCTACAAAGTAGCCCTGTGAATTTCAGTCAGCCACTTATACCATATCTAGAACTTAATCTTAATCTAGAACTTAAGGGTTGTGGTGTACAAATTTTATCACACAATAAGTAAAATAGACCTAAATTCAAACCACCATTTCCTAGCTCTTTGTCCTGACGTGTAATTTAACCTAACCCTGAACCTTAGCTTGTCACTAATGCAGATGATAATGTTTTATCTCACAAGGTTCTTGTGAGAATTAAATGAAATCAAGTATGTAAGTACTTCCTACAGTGCCTGGCACATAGAAACTGTTCAGTAAGTATAGATGTCCACTTTGTTCCCTCTCTCTTTCTTCTCTCTCCTTCTGAGCTCTAATAGTCTGTGATAAAACTAGAAGAAAAAGATAAAATTATGTTGTGGCCAAGGAAATGGAATAGATTGCCAGTTTAATAAGGGGTCCATGACAACCTTCAGATTAGAAGTGGACTCCTTCACATGGAGAATTCTGGATTTGTGAAGTAAGAAACTGAGCTTCTAGAATGGGAATTTTTATAGGACCACATAGCATCAGTGTTAATTCTGTGGCAGTGTTAATTCTTCATGGGATGCTTTCCACAACCTGTACTTGACTTCAGAATCATTCTCAACACAACCCCACCAATTGATCACAGTTGGCACTGGTCTTAAAATTTGACATCAAGATAGTGAGCACAAGTATCTGCATGCTTGTTGATCATAGCAATGTAAGATCAAGAAAAGAAATAAGAACAACAGCAGGTGCTCTGGTGGTTTATGAATGTTGAATTTGCCAAGGTATGAAATTGCTGACATCAGGTGAGGAGGAAGCTGTAAGGAAATCCAAGTTACACAGGATTTTTTTTAGTGTGGGAGTAAGACAGCTTTAACACCACAGAGGGAATCATAGCCAGATGTATAATTACAGCTATTAGTCATCAGAGTCCTTCAAATTATTCTATTCCCCATTTTTTTTTTTACTAAAATACCAAATATGATAACCAAAAAGCTCTAATTACTTCAGACAGAATTGAATCAACAGAGCCAGAGAAATCAAATTAGAGAAGCGTATGGGGTGCAAAGAGGAGTTGATTTCTAGAGTAGTCTCTCAGAGTCATCAGGAAATGATTTTATGTGGACTGACGTTTTGTCCATCTTCTGTTTACTGATTATATACATAGTGGATCAACTATCCTGGCTCATGACTATTTCTCCTATTCGATTTATGAATTCACAAATATTTATTAAGTGCTGTCTGTGCTGGTCTCTGCAAATATATGACATTCAAGTTAAAAGTATATTAATAACATCAGATGATTTTCACATCCTGTCAGGTAGATTTTTAACATCTGATTAATCTCACCTGGGTTAAGTATACAATTCAATTATTTTTTAGCATATTTACAGAATTGTGCAACCATCACCAAAATCCAGTTTTGGAACACTTCTGTCACCCCAAAGAGATCCTTCATGACCATTTTGTAGTCACTCTCTGTTTTTACCCCATCCCCAGACACCACTAATCTCCTTTCTGTCTCTATAGTATTGCCTTTACTGGACTTCTCATATACATGGAACCTTATAATGATATATGTTTGGCTTTCTTCACTTACCACAAAGTTTTAAGGGTTCAAGATGTTGTAACATATATCTCCACTTCATGCCTTTAGTGCTGAGCAGTGGTCCACTGTATGGATGTATACCACATTTTTAAAATTCATTCACTAGTTGATAGACATTTAGATTGTTTCCCCTTTTGGACTCTTATGCTTTCAGATACAAATCTTTTTGTGCCTATATGTTTTTATTTCTCTTGGGTGTATACTTAGAAGTAGAATTGCTGGGTTATATGATAAACCTATAGTTAACTTTTCAGGAAACTCAAAGCTGCTTTCCAAGTGGGTGTTGCCTTTTTACATTCCTTTTAAATTCTATCAATTTTTCCCGCAGTTGGATTTTAAAATTGAATTATGTGATTGGAAGAGATGAGTTAATTTTTTAATTTTTGACTGAGCTTAGTATCAAAGTAAGGGGTTAATATTTAATATCAAGTTATTTTGCTTTTTTCCCCCTTTTGTATCCTTGAGGAATAATCACAGTCTTATACTATAATGATCATGGGTTCCAGGGCCTCTTATTTCCATGGTGATTGCTGTTGAAAATGTTAAATCTCAATGAAATTTTGTCAGGAGTTAATTGTACCAAGAAAAATAAATAAATGATTTTATGTGCCATTTTAAATTGGTAATAAGAAATGGGCTAGGCGTGATGTATTTAAGATAGAGAAATAACCTGATGTAAATTTATCTGTTTCTCATAGGAGTCCAGAGGAAATGCAAGGGTGGATAAACAAAATTAACTGTGTTGCAGCTGTATTTTCTGCACCACCATTTCCAGCAGCCATTGGATCTCAGAAAAAGTTTAGTCGTCCACTTCTGCCTGCTACTACAACAAAATTGTCTCAAGTAAGTCATTTTGATAGTGCTTTGACTTTGGGAAAAAATACTTTATAAAATAATCTTATTAACATTTGATTGGAATAATACTACACATTTTGACAGCAAGGGTAAGCCCTTGCCTTGGAAGGTGTATTGTATAAATGGGGCAAAATGTAGTGTACTGGGTTTTACACTTCGTATTGGAAGCTGACACAACTGAGTCATGGTTGGTAAAACACATAGTTGGAATACGTTTCAAATGTTTGCTACTCAGTCATAGGGGATTAGTTTACTCTGGTTTTATTATTTTTTTTTAATTGAAGTATAGTTGACACACCACATTACGTTAGTTTCAGGTGAGCAGCATAGTGATTCAACAACTCTCTGAGTTATGCTCTGCTCACCACAAGTGTAGCTGCCATCTGTCCTCATACACATTATTACAATACCATTGACTATGCGACCTATGCTGTACTTTTCATCCCCGTGCCTTACTCATTCCATATCTGGAAACCTACTCCTCCTATTTTCCTTCATCCATTTTGCCCATCTTCTACCCCTCCTCCCCTCTAGGAACCATTAGTCTGCTTTCTGTATTTATGGATCTGTCTCTGCTTTTTGCTTATTTGTTTATTCATTTGTTTTGTTCTTTAGATTCCACATATAAGAGGAATTATATAGTATTTGTCTTTTTCTGTCTGATTTATTTCATTTAGCATTATACCCCTCTTCGGTCCATCCATGTTGTTACAAATGGTGGGCTTAGGTTTTTGATTTTGTTTGTACTAACAGCTTATATTTTTTAAATAACTGGCTGGGGTTAGACATCCTGGCTTGAAAACAAGCTTTTTTGAAATTTGTTTATTCATGCATTTATTCATTCACTCATTTTATTGAACTTTTCCCATATCCCAGGCTGTATTTGATGCTGGGTATATAAGAATATTCCCAGGGATCCACTATCCACAATACAAAGGGGAAGAGACTTCCCTACCTTCAGGGAGGAGCTAAATGGACCATGTGGGTTTTCCTAGGTAATCCAGACAACATACAGTAGAGCAGTATTCCAAATGTAGTCATCTAAGTTTCTCTTCTGTTGTCGGATTGATCTCTCTAAAGATCATATTTTATGTCCCTCTCCTCCTTAAAACTCTGTTCTGAGGACACTGTAAACAGGCCAGTTTTGCCAATTTTAAACCTGTCTGCAGTGCCCCTATTGCCATTGACTAGTTAAGGATTTTGGAAGGTAGTTTGATGTCCTTGTGAATTTCTTTTTGGTGCAGTAATAGAAATAGTTTCATCTGGCTCTAGTCAACCAGGTGTTGATGTTAACTGACTCCTCTAGCTACCTGATATCATAGATTATCAACACATTTTGTGCCTGTTACACTTAAGAGACTATTTTAGGCTCTGGAGACAGAAAGATGAATGAAACCCACATATTCTCTGAATACAAAACGTGCAAGTAAGTATAATACAGTTTGATTAGAGCACAGGAAGGTAAGTCCGAGTGCCATGTATAGTGGAAAAGGAAGTATGGTGTCTTATATGAAACTTAAAGGATGGGTAGCAATTAGATGTGGTGTGGCAAGAGAAAATGATGCAGCAGAGGGTCAAAAAGGCCCAGAGGAGAAAGCACTGAGATGTGAGAACCACATAAAAGTTATCAAATGTGACTTGAGCACAATATATTGAGAAAAGGGAAGATGCATTCCTCTGTAAAAGTAAGTATGGCCAAATGATGAAAGGTCTTCTATGTCATGTGTAGGATTTTGGATGCGTCACTGGTTCCCCAACATCTTTAGGGTAACAGTTTAAGCAGGAAAGTAATGTGACCAAATTTGTGCTTCAGAAATTATTTATGTTACAATAGGAAGAAAGTATTAGAGGAAGAAGCTACTAGAAGCAGAAAGCCTAATTTTCATGGTATGGGAGGGGCGCCTGGGTAACTCAGTCACTTAAGCATCTGCCTTCAGCTCAGGTCGTGATCCCAGGGTCATGGGATCTAGCCTCCCTCCCCCTGCAGCATTGGGCTACCCTGTGCAGCAGGGAGCCTGCTTCTCCCCTCTTCCTCTGCCTGCCGTTCCCCCTGCTTGTTCTCTCTCTCTTTCTCCCAAATAAATAAATAAATCCTTAAAACAAAACAAATAAAATAAAATAAAGGCAGGGGAAATAATGAGAGGAAAAATTATTTGTAGAAGAGATGGATAGATGTGGAAGTATTTGAGACATCTTGAGAGTGTGGAATGAGTGTTCCCAGTGGCTTATTGAAGTAAAGGAATAAGGACTATCATCTAGGCTTCAGCAGCTGGGGATTGTGCTGTCTTGCTGACTTGGCTTTTGTGACCTCACCATCTGGTTTTCATCCTGTTGTTTCTTCCTAGGGTTCTTTCCTGGGTCCTTTTCCTCTTTCTGCTTCCAAATGTTGCAATGCTCAGTGCTCAGAAGGAGACCAAAATGGATATTTGAGAAACAATTTTTCTGTTGTCAAGAAAAAACAGGGAGAATGTTGTGCCAGGAAAGGGGAGAAAGAGGAGAGAGGTCAGGTAAAATTAGTACAAAAAATATCTCCTATGAAGTGGCAGGAGGTCATCGGGTCCCTTGGTGAGAGCAGTTTGTGGAGTGATGGGAAGAGAACCACATTTGTCTTCTTTGAGAAAGGATTGGAAAGTAGGAAGGAAGCGGAGGAAGGGAATACATACAAGTCTTGCCGTGAGTTCATAAAAAATAGACTGGTGGTAAGAAGAGAGGAGACATGATTTAATGAAAAATTCTTTTGGTTTTGTTAATTTATAATTATTATTAACATGAATTAGATACTCCCATGTAAGCATTACTATTGCTTTGTTGTTCACAGACTACAAAAATACAAAAACAAAAACAAAAAACTGTTAAGAATAGAGAGGACCAGGCCAGTTCGCTTTACAAGGCAGAATGGCATTTAATTTTCAAGTCTAACCAAATGGTAAGAGAACAGGTCATCTTATGATGACCAAAAGGTTTATTAGCAGAATTCTCCATCTACCCACCTAAACTATGACCTCTTAAAGCAAATGCGTTCCCCCACTTTAATTTCGGGTACTTGAAATAGACAGTAAGCCATATTATATAAGGTATGAGAAGAAAAAAACAATTGAACAACTAACCAGAGCAACAAATACCTTCAGAAGTTGGGTTTTGTTCTGTTAATTTCACGAGGGATTTTCCAGTACTTACTTTTCAATAGATTGGTCTTTCTCACAATCATTCTTATAAAAGATCCAGGAAAAAGATGAGTTGAAGTTTAGAAGGAGCATTAATAAGCATAGAGCAACTTACAAGTTTTAACTTCTTCTTTCCTTACTATGGATCTACACTTCTATTTACTTTCTACTTTGAAAATGTACTTGTGTTCTATTTATGTATGGGCTATATTTTAGTAAGTCACTGGCACATGAAAATGAATGTGTTTCTCTATTTGTGTATTTTTTTACCATGAGACCAGGTAAGCAAGCACCTTTTCCAAGGCAAAAATCTTTTATTTTAAACAAATGTTTTACACTGGAACTAAAAATAGAATGCATAAAATTTTTAATATTTTTCCTCATTTTGAACATAAATCCATAGAGATACAAAAAAAAAAAAAAACCCTGCTTATGTAATGTTATCAAATGATGTATTTAGGATTTTAAATAAGGCAATAACCAAAAAGAGACATGCTTCTTTATCGCTTATGACAAGATGACCAAGTACTTTCAGGAATTTAATTACCTTGTTAAAAAAATAATAATAAAATAAGATGTTTTCGTCCTCCACAAATAAATCACCAAGCCTTTGTGGGCCTCAGTTTTCCAACTGGAAAATTGAGAAGACTGTTCTAGAGTGTTTTTAAGGTTCTTTCATTAGCTCTGTATTTTTTGCCAGGGTCATTGTGTTTTTTTACTTAAAAATGAAGATGTTTTGCCTTTGAGAGTAGTAGGACAATTTAGAAATAAATATGTAAAATGAAGCATGTAATAAAGAATAGCTTAGAAAGAGGGAGAGAAGAGTTAGGCTACATGCAGCCTGTTCAGTATTTGGTGTACCCTCCACATCAAATAGAGACTTTTGTGGGGATATCTTTGGAAGAGTTATCATAGTGCACCTTCAGTGAATCCTGGAATGCATGTCTAGATGCACCCACAAGTTTTCCAGTACCTTGAAGACTACTAGTCCTTGTGATTTAGCCCTGGCATTACCAACCTCAGCACAAGTGCCATTTTAGCCTAGATAGTTCTTTGTTGTGGGGGTTGTCCTTTGAATTGTAGGATGTTTAGCAATATCCCCAGCACTACCCACTAGATACCAGTATCATCCCCCTAGCTGTGACAACCAAAAATGTCTGCAGACATTGCCAAATATCCTGTGGGGTCAAAACCCACCCCACTGCTACCTGCTGCTATTGAGAACCATTGAATTAGCCCAGCCATCTTTCCTTTCTCCATACACCCACAGCCTGGCTATGACTCCCCTAAATGCCAGAACTACTTGGATAATTTTAGTTTATAAAATTCATGTGTAACAGTGTGAGTACCCTACTGGAAAGAAAACTTAATAGTGTTAGGAAAAAACTAAACAGGCAATTAAAAGATTGTTTGGTGCTTTTAAAGACATACTGTTCATCATCACCCTGTCATTTACAAGCTTTAATTTATTCTTGTCTTCTATCCAAAACATATTAGCCTTCATTATTAAAATTGATTATTATCAGTGCAGTGTTGTTCTTTCTGAACAACTCTGCTGTGTAGGAGTCATCTTCTTAGTTGTTTTCATGGCAGGGTTGCCAAGCACATTTTTCTTCTTTTGGGGATATTGAAAATTTAAGTTTTGTTTCTCCTTCTGGTACAGTACTCTAAACTTAGGATTTCATGGTTGGCCCTCTTCAGGATCTATTCAGGACCTCTCTTTCTACTCATCAAAGCAGTCATTTTCAGCTTTAATGTGTACAGAAATGATCTGGGGACTTGTTGAAAGTGCACGTGTCCCAGCATCCCCATACCAGGTTAATG